AGCGGTCGGGGGGCAGGGTGGGCGCCGCAGCCCGGTGCGGGCCTGACGGGGCTGCGGCGTGTTCGGGGTGCGGGCAGAGACCCCCCGCACCGTGCGGCCTTGCCCTGCCGCCGGTGGGCGCGAGGGGACGGGCTGAGCGGCGGCTGTACGCGTGGGTGATCCCTGTGGGGGCCCCCGCACCGCTGCTCCCCGCCAGCTCCTTCGCTCTCAGCCCTGGGAGGCGCCGTGGGGTTTTATTTAGGCTGGATATTTACTTAAACCGACTTTTTATTCCATTTCTAAATTTGTGATGCAGCAACGTATTTGTACTTGCGTTCACCGTAATATATAGCCAGTGTAGCTTTGTCTTACAGATGCTTGTTGTTTTTTCTTTAGAGACTTGGCCTAAAAACACCTGGTGCACAGAAGCCATGGGTTTGTCTGCGTCCTCCCCGGCTGCTGCTGGTCAGTCGCCAAATGCATCCAAACAACACCAGACAGCGTCTCCACCTTCAGAATGTCCTATGCATCAGGAAAAAATGAGCGGTAATCATTCCTGAAACGTAAATTAAACTCTTTGTACGGAAAACAGATTGAAAAATATTTTTTTCTGAAAAAAAAACCCCAATTATACAAATAAAACCTCGAGTTTTTCCTTTAGCAAAAATTGGTCTTAAGTGACTTCATGAAAAGGAGTCAGTTGTTCACCAGAACAGTGTGCAAGCTGCCCTTGTCTTACAGTAGAGACAGTAGGTGCTTGGTGTAGAACCTGTGGGTCACTCCCGATTGTTACGTTTCACAGGGGTCCTGCAGATCTATTCCCATCGAGTGGTACACCTGCCAAGGGTCAGGGAGTGCAGGGGCCCCCACAGAGAGAGTAACTGGGAGCAGGTGGGTGTCACTAGAGAACATGCATCTGGAAGAGGACAGCAGAAGGTCAAATAAGATGAATGGAGAATGAGGACATCAGCTCTTCTGTTGACACAATCAACGTGTTGGATTAACATTGCGGTCGAAATCTTAAATACAAACAGTTCAGCTAGGGGACAGCGTGGAGTGGGGAATGAGCATTCAAGGACTACATAAGAAGCTGAGATCTTACCATGGTACTGGGTCTTAAAATTCAGGAAAGATAACAGTTAAAATTGTTGCAAAGCTTAGAAGAAAAAGCGAAATACTACTTTGTATTTACATGAGCATTCAAGTGACTGTTTTCCATTTCCTGTCACATCTTCAGAGTTTTCATTTTGTAGCAAATTACATACTGGGTTTTTTTCCTGTGATTCAGGTTGTCCAATGCACATGAACACTCCTGATTACAGAACTGAGAACACAGATGATGTTCCTGCACATCAAGAAAGAGCGTATGAATTTGTAGCATGTCCGGTGAAGTCTGGTGCATTTCAAGGGAAAGATGACATAGATCCTAGCAATATGGTAACTTTTACAGATTTCAGATGCTTTCTTCAATCATATTTCTACTGAAATACTATCCACACAATGTAAACAATGACTCTGTCTAAAGTGGAAACTCTGGCAAATAACATTTTAACTTTTTTACACTGTTTTTTCTAATTTTGTGTGCAAATATTTGTGTAAAGCCAAGTTATATCTTATTTAACATTCTATTCTTCAGATTTACATCATTTTGATAAAAGGTGGTTTTCTAGTTTGTAAATATCTTTTGCTGCCTATTTCTGTTTGTTAGTGATGTGCATGGTTTTTATGCTGAATTAGTGGGGTTTAGTGTGTAATAGCAGTATGAGTAAGTTCTGATTCAGGTCTCTCCAAGTTTTCTTTTGATTTATAAAAAGCATTGTTGTTTTGAAAGTTTAGGTAAAAGGGTTACTTTAGTCTTCAGATGACAAGCTTGTGCAGAGTGTTCTATGACAGAAGAGAAAGATAACTTTTGATGGATTTAAATAAAGGCTGAACTTATTGATCTTTGTAGCAGCTGACTGATAATGCTTTGATTTTTCTCAAACATCGTAACAAAAAATTTTCACACTCTAGCTTTTTGATTCTCCTTGTTTTGTAGATGCCTCCTCCTAATCAGCAGCCATCTCCAGATCAACCATTTCCATTGTCAACTGTTAGAGAAGAATCTTCTATTCCTAGAGCACATTCTGACAAGAAATGGGTCTACCCTTCAGAGCAGATGTTCTGGAATGCTATGCTAAGGAAAGGGTAAATACACTGTGAATTATCAGATGGAGTCTGTGAGCCTGAAATTCATGAAGTAATATAATTAGTTATTATTCATGGGCATTGTTTAAGAATTTGTGGATGCTAAATAATTAACTAGCTGTTTTAAAAATTAGTGGTTTTATAAAGAGCTTTGTTTTAAAGGGTGAGCTGGCCTCAATGGTAGGGAATATCCGGCAAGTGCCACTACCTCAGAAAATGTTATTAAAAGTCAGTGCATAGGCATAGACAAACTTTGCATGATTGCCAGCTTTCAAACTCAGTTGACTTCATGCTAATCCTATAAACTGGTGGTAGAAGTTCTATGATTGTGAGAACATCTAGCTTGACTTTGCAGAATTGCTAAAAATGTGAAAACTGTTTGACAAGTACATGTTTTGAGTCTACAGAAATTCAAAGTAGGCAAGATCTAACTGAATAAATGTCTCCTGTGGCCTAAAAAAATCTCTGTGCTGCCATTTCCTCATTCTTTTGTAATGATTTGTTTGGCATTCTCAAACAGATCAACTTTAAAGGTGGTTACTATTAAAACAATAGTAATTATTTGTTCTGTGTATCAATATTGTTCTTAAGATGATATGTCATAAGCAGTCTATATTGAACACACAAGTTCTGATCCTTTAAACACTTAAATGTGTTCAGTGTAATGCCTGTTGAAGAGGAAGCACGTGTGTAGTTGTAGTACAGGGTCAGAGAGATGAAAGGCTTTTCTAAATGTATGCAGAATGTATTGAATACAGGACTTCATGCATTAGGAATGCAAGTGGGATTTTTCCTAAGCATTTTTATGAATACTGTGGATATGCTGATGTTTTCACACTCACCTTAACTGGATCAGAAAGTTATGAGTTAATTTAGATAACTGGAGTTTGTGGGTCTCTATGATGATCACTTTAATAAGTACACTTTTACACAGGAAATGAAGTAGTTCTCAAGATTGTTAAGCAGATGAGCCAGAAGTTTCCATAGTTGCTTTGTGTCTTTGCATAAAACCTTACATACCTAGATTCAAAAGCCTATCAGATAAACTGAGGAAGGTGGTGTAGTTGTTCTGTAACATTTGTAACCTGTTTTCAAATTCTTATTTTATTAGGTGGAGGTGGAAAGATGATGACATAACAGGTGAAGACATGACCAACATTATTAAGATTCACAACCAAAACAACGAGCAAGCTTGGAAGGAGATTTTGAAGTGGGAAGCTCTTCATGCTGTGTATGTATATATGAAACAAAAAGCAACTCCTTTGGTTTAGCTCTTGCTTTTGTAATTCTTTGAAAGTAGAACGTCTGTAGTTTTGCAGAAATATTCTGGTGCTGATACGTCTCAGAAGTTATGATCTTGTAGGAGTTTGCATTTTGATTAATCAGATTAACCAGAATAAGATTAATAAGATTATCCAGAAGAGCTTAACTAAAACTGAATAATTATTATGTTGATAAAACTGATGAGCATTTTGGTGGTGCATGTATAGTGTGGATTTGGAGAAATGAACTTCTTATTGTATCTATTTTGGAATTATTTAATTGGAATTGTTATGATAAAGGTATGAGATGTAAACTTAGATCAAAAGTGACCGGTGTAAAACAACCTGTCACTTTTTAGGCCAGTATAGTCCCTGTTCCTAGAAGTTAGGCATTCTGTATGTAGAAATTGCTCTCTGAAATTCCATGATCTTTGTTACACAGTAGTTTGGATATTTCTGTAGTTCTTAAATGGTTTTTTGTTCTTTAATCTGTTAAATCAGTGGATTAGATTTGCTGAGAACTGCTCTGTTGATAAATTAGAACAATGGTGTGAAGCATATCAAAGGTACTTTATTGTATCTGTAGTAAGTGCTGTCAGAAATGGAGGGGCTTTTTTTTAACCTTTTTTAATAAAAAAGCTGGTTTAGATTGCTTGTAATTAATTTTTTATTGTTGCTCTTTCTCCAGTTTTTCTGTTACTAAAACAAATGAGCATAGTGGTTTAATCACTTAAAAGTGTTTTAAAAGGTAAAAACTGTTTTCTATTTTAATTGCATGCACAGGGAATGTCCATGTGGACCATCTCTGATGCGGTTTGGAGGCAAAGCAAAGGAATATTCACCAAGAGCCAGAATACGTTCCTGGATGGGGTACGTGGGCAGGAAAGAAGGTCTTGCAGTGAGGTGGGAGGGTGGGGAGATGTGTCTGAAAACATGATGTGGAATTAATTTTAAGGTGTTTCAGAACTGGCATTGCAAGTTACAATTACCAGAACATACTGGGGATCTTATGCTAGTGTCTGGATAAATAAATCTTCTTAAATAGGAATTCCACTCTCCCTCCCAGGTTCATAATATCCATTAAAATATTTACATGGTCTATTATCTGTCTTTCCAGATATGAACTTCCCTTTGACAGACATGATTGGATTGTTGACCGTTGTGGAAAAGAAGTGCGATATGTTATTGATTACTATGATGGTGGAGCAGTAGATAAGAACTACCAGTTCACTATCCTGGATGTTCGCCCTGCCTTTGACTCTCTCTCGGCTGTATGGGACAGAATGAAGGTAGCTTGGTGGCGGTGGACTTCATAACTACTCCTGTGGTGTGTAGTCAGAAAGTAAACCACTTTCCTCCTAGACTAAGGATAAGTGAATACTAAGACTTGAAATCAAAGTTCACTGCAACTGTCATTATTTCCATCATCACCACTGTTTTTTGGGGGTGGGAAGGGAGGATGAGGAAATCCATTGTTAAGTACACCAATGCTTTATGGTGTTTTGAATGAAATAATAAAGTTATAGTAGCAAAAACATGTATCTTAATTTTCTCAAGAGTTGGGAAATCTTTTCTTATTTTGTTACCTGTTCTGCGTAAGCTTGCCACCTTTTAATTTCGTGACTCCAGTGCTGCACCAAATACATTAGGTATTTGATTCTGACTGGAGTTTTGTTACTTAAACTGAAAACTGGAAATTTCATGAACGATTTCATATAGTTACAGTCCTTAGATGTTTAGGTGATGAATAAAGGGTAAAAGATTGGACTGTTTCAAACTGCATGTTTTATTAACTGTATAAAAACTATGTATAAAAATTTGTTTTCACATGAGCACTTTACCTGTTCAAACAATGCTTCCTCAGAAAACTTGAAGTTTATTGTGTTAAAGGAAGTATAGTGTAGTATATTTTTAAAGGTATGTTAAGTTGAAAGGGAGAATATACTCATGCCTTAATCTGCAATTTATTTTTGAACAGAAACAGGAAGAGTGTCAGTTGCTTTTGAAACAACATTTCTAGAAGGAGATAAAACTGATATGTAATAGCTATTTATTTGAGAATTTGAAAGGTTTTCTGATATAAGAAAATTGTGTTGTTTTAGTATTTTCATGTCTTTAATGTGTGTCTTGCGTAATGCCTTCAGCACAGAATTGAGCCTTATTTAAAGAAACCGTCATGCAGTGCATCTGTATCTTGCACCTTGGCTTCATCATCTGTACCATAATGTGTGGTTTTTATACAATACAGAATCGCACAAGGGTGTATGACTATGCAGTTATATATGTTTCTGCATAGTGATTATCGTGAACTGTATTACAGATGTGTATGTAACTTTGCTAAAAGGGTATCACAAATGCCAAGAAATAAGGTTGATTTGAGCATTTTCTAAGAGTGATGCAAGTTAATGCCATGTGGCTTAAAGATTTGATTTATGTTTGTACGCAATAAGGGAAACTTTTTTTTTAAGTTTTCCACTGTAGTAGCTTTAAATTTGCATGGCTTGTTAAATTTCAGGTGCTACATGCCCCTAAACTTAAATTATTCCTCCATTTCAGCACGTATTACTCTTGAGAATGAGTCCTCTGTGCAAAACACTTAGGAACAGGAGTAAGAAACTATCACACTGTAGCTTCTCAAATGGGAGAAGCTTCCTTAATGAAACTTCACAACCTTAAACTGGGAACCAGCTGTACACTGATTTTCTGAAAGTGGTTGTTTTTAACTGACATGGGAAGCTTTTTTTAATTTTTTTTTCCTGAAGGGAAAACCTCCCAGTGTTTCAGTCAAGTAACTTCCCATTTAGGAAAAAAGTATTCAGGGAAGCATTCCATACTTCAGCGTACTGATGGAGTTGAATGGTTCCCACTGCAGAGCCAACTGTCCTGCATGGTAGGGATAAATATTACCCAGAAGTCCAGAATCCAAAGAGACAACCACACTCTTACCCCTGTCTGCTTTCCTCATTCCTTTTCCACCTTTTTAGTGATTCATATATATATATAAATATATATAAAAAAATACAAATATATAAATGAAAAACAGTTTGGGGAAAAAACAATCTCCATTTGAGTAGGCAATGTATATATGAGATGTATGACAAGTGGGTGAGCTTGTATGAAGCATATCTGATAACAAAAGAGCTGTTCCTCTGTTCTAACAGTAAAGATTGAGGCTCCTTGCTTTTTGGGCTGGATTTTTTTTTTGTTGGTTGGTTTATACATTTGGTAACTTGATATGTGCAGAATTCTGTGTTTCTCGCAACTAAATAAGGAAGAGGTACACCAATGTAGGGAGTGCTTCAGAAACTTCAAAAGAACGAGTTTGCTTTGTTGATTTTTGGAAGCGTGATGTTGAGAGCATTATGGAAACTGTAATTGCTGCTAAATCCGGTGAAAGGTGCCACATGCCACTTCATGCATTTAACTTCTGTTATGTTCCATCTCCTAGATTCAAAATTGTTCTTTTCTGTGCTACTCTTAATGAAATGTACTACTTCGTCACCAAACAAAAAGGAGAATCAAATAAATATACTTTTCTTAACTTTGTCATTTGGTGATCGTATTTTTAGCTGTAAGAATTATTAAGATGAGGTCTTGCATGTGTCATGAGATTATAGTCTGTTACAACTAATCACTTCTTTGAATCGGTACTACTCATTTATTTAGGTGAATACAGAACCAGAAACCAAGGACTAAATTCAAGTGTTTGCCAACCAAACCAGCAGCTCAGAATTAAGAACATATAACAAGAAATATATTCATCCTGATTTTGACTAACTTCTGTAGAGAGGAATGCAAGGATTATTTTTTTTTTTAAATAATCCTGGAAATGTAAATAAGTCATGTACTTCTAAGGCTTAAGGAAGTAAACATGGAGTTTTCTCTTTCAGGTTTGGGTTACTTTATGTATGGTGTTGACAGTTCACTATTTCTCAGAAGATGGGTGTCAGAGTGAGTAGAATTCTAATGTAAGCTTGAAAAACAGTGATGTAAATTGATGGGTTTTTTACCCTTTGGGAAGATGTCTTAACTGTAAAAGTATTGTTTCGGCTAGATTAAAGGTAATGTGTGCGTATGCATAAATAAATTATACATTTATATCCTTTCTTTGTAAGTATAGAAGGGTATGGAAAATTTCTGAAGCTCAAAAAAGTGAAGGAGTATCTTGATCAGGCCCTTCCATGGAATTTTGCAGCAGCATCAGGTTCCCAGTCCCAATCAGGATGAAACAGAAGTTTGGAACCCAGCATCTCAAACCAGGCTAAACTTGTGCATACACAAAGGGGATACACTGTCACTAAAGCAGGGCTACTTTTTAAATCAGTTGTGTATTTAGGTATCTAAAGTTCACCTATGTTCTGCTTTACCATGTCAAAGCCCTGCTTGACCTGTTGTGTTTGACTCTCACAGTTAAAACAAGTTAGGAGAGCTCTCCTGGTATGCAGCTAGAGATGTGTCCTTCAGGGGTATTGCAGTGCTCAGAAACAGCAATCTCTGTGTCTGAGGGATGGAAAACAACTCTGGCGTAACACTCCCAACTGTAACCAGGCAGGTCTGGAGCCATGCATGTGTAGTTGAGAGTGGTACCGATCTTTATTTGCTGGAGCAGGAGACCATTCTGTGCTCCAATACCTGGTTTTGGCCTCTTGCCGTTGTGCAGGTTCAGGCAGCCCGTGAGAGCCCTGTGGTTAGGAGGCCTGGCACCGTGCAGCCCCGCGAGAGGGGCACCGAACATGGGGCTGCTATGCCCACAGCCCCTCCCTAGTCAGCAACGCTGGCCCAGTTCTCTGCTCTTCTGCAGTATGGCCCCCCCTTAGTATCTGGCCAACATGAGTGCCCTATAATTAGGGAGTAACTCACAGGCTTGTCCTTCTGGGACACTGTGGGTCCCTGGCTATGTTGAATCATCCTCTGATGTTTTGCCCTTGCACTGTACTAGCAGGCAGTTTAGGAAGGGGAGATGTAGCTCCCCTGTCACCCTTTATTTATTTACTTATTTCCTTCTCCCCTAGAAATGACATTGCTCCTCCTCATACTATGCCAATGGTCTTAGCTTCAGTCTCTTTAAGAATTTTTCAGCTAAGTCCCAGAATTTCTGCCCTGCTTTGTAGAAGAAAGACTGTTTTGCTGGTAAGAAGATACTTGTGTCCATTGTTGATTATAGCTATTTTTTGTTGTCAAAGTGTTCTGGATTACCATTTTTCAATTATGAAGTGAAAGAGGTATGCTAGTTTAATCTGAAATGGGAAAACAATGCTGTCTAATGTTTACATAATGTATTTACTATCAGGACTTTAATGTGCTCTGTAAATAATTACTTAATCCTAAATTATGATGATTATTGTTCTGCCTACAAAAGGTGTGAAAGTAGCAAAGAATCTCTTGGTGCTCTGAAAATGATCATAAATAGTCTGTCATTTTATGCACTCCCATTTTGTCATTCGACTCGTGTCCAAGTGTGGTGGAATAATAGCTAATGTGCCGAAAGATGGAGGCACAGATACTAAGGTTGCTGTGGCTTGGCAGTTAAAAATGAAGCGAACTGGTAAACTAAGGAGCACTGCCTGGTTTTTGGACTCTTACTAAAGTGTTTTTTATGGAGGGTGGAAATGTCCCTTTCAGAAACACCACTCCTTTACTTTTTAAAGAGAACCATCCCCAAGATTTACTAAATTAAATGACAGTTTAATCCGTTGTCTCCTTTTACTTATGCCTGGAGGAAAATCCATGTAGTAAGGTTCCACAAGCAGATGTACTTTATGTAGAAGATGAACTTTTTGAGGATAGAATATACTACTCATAATGCTAACTGTGCTTATGTCTTCAGCACCACACTCTTCCCTACCCACAAGTATCTTTACATATGTTCTTTAGCAATGCTGTGTATTTTTTCAGTTTTCTACAAATTTTTAGTAGTCAACTTCATGCATTTTTACTCTCACTGGAAAAAAAGAAGTGTTCTATTTGTCATTCCATCTTACTTTGTGCAAGGTAAATTGTAGGCAAGTTCTATATGCAGTGAATCAAGTAAGTATTGATCCTCTTGGCAGCAGTAGTAATAGTAGGAACCTGTGGTCAAACTAGATATGTCATTTTGTAAAAAGCATCCTTCTTAGTTTGTATTAGATGGTTAATCACTTTTATGTATATCTCCTTCAAGAAAAAATGGCTTGCCAAACTCCTAGAGAAAGAATCTTAAATTCTTTTATGAATGTGACAATTGCATCTCTTTGGTGTTACAACTTGTATGTCAAGTTGTGTAAAACCTGTGGGCAGAGTACTAGTCTAGGCTTCAGACCTAAACGGGTGGCCTTGAGCATGTGTGAAACGATGTATTATTTACCAGTGAACCACTGATAACAGTGGCAGCTACTCACAAGACATGTCTGCATGTTTGCAGCACAGGTACATATTTTTATGACTGGAGTCTGAATAAATCCAGTTTTCAAAGGATAATGTAAATTTATTGGAAGTATTGGGATTGTTATTAGTCCTTGTTAAAAAATTTACAAGAATAGTTTCTTTTGCTGACATTCCATGCTGACATGGCCTCTCTTATAAAACAGAAGCCATCACATTTGTTTTCAGCATATTATGGTAAAAAAAAATAAAGACTAAGTAATGATTTTTCTTTTCTGATGTTTTGCCAATTTTGTGGTAACTACAGAAAGTTTTAGCTGTTTTTCTAACATGTTCCTGCTGTTGCCTCCAGCTTCTGAAGACTGTGACCCCATAAACCTCCCATCTATAGAGATAGCTAATGCTTTAATTGATCATTAGTAGACTTTCAAAATGAGTTTCTATCTGCCAAAAGATTAAGTGTCTTCGGAAATTGACTTAAAGCAGTTTGATGCATGGAGGATAAATGCAAGTGCCTTAAAAAAACACTGCTGACCACAAATCCTTGAAAAACTTGCTTCTAAAATACTTAAAAGTAACAAAAAAGATTTTTTTCCTCTGGTTTATTTGCTCTCAAATTAGAGAAAGCTTTTTTTTTAATATATCAATGAGAATTCATTAGCTCATTCTCAAAATCTAAAGAGCAAAACCTCATAAAAATGTCAAATTTAACCTTAGAACAAACCATGCAAATTTTGGAAGCTTTAATTTGCAGTGTAAATTTTTTGTTAAATTAGTATCTTCCCACTTTAAAAACCACGTGCTTTGGGCCAAAAAAAAAAAAAAAGGTGAAAACTTTTGTATTAGCTGTACTTGATAATACTGAGGAAAAACATCTCCATGTTTTATCACAATTTTTCACAATTACAGGGGTTGCTTCTCCTGTTTTCTTTAAACTTTTGCCTTTTAGCTTATTTGGAGTGATTTTTACAGGTTTTCATGATGCTTTCTCTCTGCCATTTTTGTAGAAGTCACTTTTGGGAAAACTTCTACCCTTGCAATAACACTTACAGTTGTTACTACAGAAATAATGGCTTCTTAAGTATCTGAAAAATCCGTGCTATTTAACTCGGTTAAGAACAGTTCTAGCTGGTAAGGATACCGTTCTGGCTGCATTAGAGCTGTCAACATTGTTGTAGCAGAAATTATAGGAACTGCAGCTGTCCTACAGCAGTGCTGAAAGATGGATGTGATTGGTTGCATAGGCTAGTCATCACACTTAGCTGTGGTTACGGGTTCCTCGTTAGTGTTTGTCTTGTGACCCCAAAATGAGCAACTGCAGTGATTTTTAGACTCTTTCTAATGGTCCTTTAATGCCTTCTAGAGTACCTGCTTTTAGGACCGCTTACCGTTGAGGCAGCTGGGATGGCAGAGTGGCTGGCATGGAAATGACGGTAAAAAGATGTAGATGGATGTTCCAAATTGACATTTTTTTTCCTCAAATGTCTGTCTACTCCTTCTCTCTTATTTGCCACTTGGGTTAGAGGAAAACAGGTCTAAACACACAAGTTTTATATATAAACACCAATGGTTGTCGATGCAACACCAAATTGATAGGGGCCGTAATTATAGTGAGTAGAAAGCAAAGGATACTACTTACTGCAAATAACACTGGAAAGATTAATCTTACCTACATATGAAAGGCTGCGTTCTGTTTGCCTTGTCAGGCAAAGTGGAAAATACTGGTATCATCAGTGGAGTATTGATTTATGACAGGATGCTGGAGCTGGTTTAATTGACTAAAAAGCAAGATTTTTTTTTTAAAACTTTATTTGCCACATGTTGATGGGAAAGCATCCATTTAGAGAAATGAATACAGTTAATCTATCAAACACTGCAATGTTTAAAGAAATTAAAAAAAAAAAGAGGGAAAGTAAGATCTTTACTCTCAGTTTAATAATAATGGAATATGAAGGCCAGATCGTCACTGTAGAAGCTCATTTCAAATTTAAATATTTAGCATTTTCACTAGTCTGTGAATACAAGAAAATTTATTACATTAAGATGGAATTTAGATCTTTGACATGAAGCTGATATTTTCATAGTGTGAAAAATATCAAGCTGACATTATACTGTCTCATTTGATGACTTCCAAATGTCAGAGTGCAGTAACTTATTCATAGGGACCTCAATGTCTTGTGATAGTGTCAATTTAAAAGACATTTACATGGACTTTTTTATTTAAACATGTAAAATGGAATATGCAAAGTGGATGAGAAGGGGGAAAGACCAGGGGCAAGAAAGTTCTTAATAATAGAATGAGGCACTTTTAAGGCTAATTTCCACCAAAGCCTTCTGACAGCTGCATGGAGTACTACCTGGCAGTACTTCTGACAGCTCCCATCTTCTTTCCCTTAGTATTATTTCCCTCATTCCCAGTTCAGCACTCTGAAGTTTCTTGTTATTTCAGTGGAATTTAGGGGACTAATAATAACGTGATATACTTTCCTGGAAAAGTAAACCACCCATCCCTTGCTTTTAAAAATGATTTTGTAATTACGGAAGATACCGAGTATTTATTTTGAGCTGACTCTACCTGGGAGTTAATGATACCATCGGCCGTAGAAGACCTCAGTCAGGTGCCTGTTGGTGGGATTATGAAGCCACAGTAGTCGAATACGAGCAGCACAGATTTATATTCTAGTAAAACTTTCTGTATGAGTCTGTGTGGCTACGCTTCAGTTGACCATCTACACCCTGAGGGTGGCCGCGTTACTCCTTTCTGCGGGTCAGAGGCCGCCACACACAGTCACAACAGGGCCAAAGCGGGCCGCTGCGGCCGGCGGCCATTTTGTTCGGCGCCGAGAGAGAGAGAGAGAAATAAGCTCCCGCCACTCGGTGCCGGCCCCTCGCCGCCTCGGAGGCTGCCGGGCGGTTCATCACCGCGCCTGCCCGAGCCGAGGGGGCAGCGGCGG